GCCTCCGACCACCACATCTCCCACCAGTCCTTCTCTGTTTGTAAACAGCAGGTCGAGCGAGGCACCTCCCCTGGTAGGCTCACTTACCAGCTGTGTCAGGAAGTTGTCTTCCACACACTCCAGGAACCTCCTAGACTGCTTCTTCTCTGCCATGTTGTATTTCCAGTAGATGTCCGGGAAGTTGAAGTCCCCCACAAGAACAAGGGCTAGCGGTTGAGAGACTTCTGCCAGCCGCTTGTAGAACGCTTCATCCGCCCCTTCATCCTGGTTGGGTGGTCTATAACAGACTCCCAGCAGGATATCTGCCTCATTGGCCTTCCCCCTCATCCTTACCTATAAACACTCAACCATATCATCATCACAATCATTGAGCTCTAGACAATCGAAACACTCCCTAACATACAGAGCCACCCCGCCGCCTCTCCTTCCTCTCCTGTCCCTTCTGAAGAGTCTATAGCCATCCATTGCAGCACTCCAATCGTGAGAGGCACCCCACCATGTTTCTGTGATGGCGACTAAGTCATACCTCTCCCGCTGCACAATGGCTTCCAGCTCCTCTGTTTGCCGCCCATGCTGCGTGCATTGGTGTAGATGCACTTGAGCTGGGCTATCGATTTCGCTCCCAGCATCAGCATGCCACCCCTCGGCTCATCTCTAGTGAGCCTGGTTTTGTCCCCTTCCCCCTTCAAACCTAGTTTTTTTTAAAAGATTCTTTTAAAGCTTGTCACAGCGAATGCAGAAGCTGTTTTTTAGGAGTAGCGTTCCAATAAATCACTGGTTTGAACATTTAAGGGAAATAGACACTTGAGGTTGAAGAGGTCTGCAGGGGGCTAAATTTAGCACTGGTGTAAGCAGGAGTCGTTTGTGGATTCCCTGAAGATGATCAGCGTGTAGCCTCTGGAATTTCTTTCACTAGCTTTAGAAATACTGTTGACTGATAAGCAACTGTGGAAAAAATGTTTCTTCCTTTGTGCCTAGCCCTTGCATTGTTACATTCCCTTGGAAGTTTTTAAATCTCTTTCTGGATTGTAGTCTCTCCAGTTACCCATAACGTTTTTACAGTGACTTATTTGGCCCTGTCTACTGTAAAAGTAACACCAGGAATTTTGTCTCTTTTCTCTCTAGCCACTGCTGAACTTGAAACTGGATCTGCTGGAGCTTCTCCCATGGTATCCACTGACGGTTCTTCAAAAAATTTCCATGTTGACCAGGATTCCCTTTGCAGGGCAATACAGGAGTACCGTGATGTTTTAACCAAAAATTACCTGATTTGAACAAAATGCTAGGGACAGGCTCTGGAAATCATTTTGTTTACATAGTGCATCTATGGTTTCCCATTCTATGGTTCAGATGTGAAAATGTGTTTATTGCAGTCTGAATATAAATTCTATTAAATGGCTGTGAAGCACTTTGCACTTACCTGTTGGTTTATTGCTGCATAGTTGTTTTATTTTGCACTCACAATAAGAACCATATCTATTTTTTCTGACTAGCAGATTGACTAATCTTGATTCTTGAGCTTGACAGAACTGTTAAAATGTTTCTTATGAAGGTAGATGCATTATTTTGCTCCACCCATGCTCTGTGTTTTAACAAAAGCATTCCCTTTGTTCTGTTTAATCCTTTCACTCTTACGTGTTTTTAATGTTTCCAGTGTTTATTTTAATGCTTAGGACATTATTTGATGTGCTTTGAGCCCGCTGCTTCAGTCCTGATGCAGTGAGTATTTCTGCTGATAAAGTGAAAGTTTTACCAGTGTTCAAGCTGGAGAATAGGGCACTTTACATTGCTGTCACTTTATGCACCTTAGGTTTAAAAATACTGTGAGTATCTAGTAGTGCCAAGACAGTTGTTATGTGGTCTTTTTGGTATGTTTGTTTTGTATCACAGAACCACGGAATGGCTGAGGTTGGAAGGGCCTTTGGAGGTCATCTGGTTCCAACCCCCCCGTTCAAGGAGGACCACCTAGAGCCGGTTGCCCAGGATCGTGTTGGCTTTTGAATATCTCCAAGGATGGAGACTCCACAGCCTCCATGGGCAACCTGTGCCAGTGCTCAGTCACCCTCACATTAAAGAAGTGTTTCGTGATGTTCAGACGGCACCTTCTGTGTTTCAGTTTGTGCCCATTGCCTCTCATGGTATTCATGTTGATTTTTGTATTAAAAATTGCTGCAGCTTTAGACATTTGCAGTTCCTATGTCAACACGTGTGGTGCACCTGAAACACTTCATACGGGGGGGAAAAAGGAATGTTAATATATAAACCTTCAGTCTCCTCAGCACTTTCCAAAACTTGTGTGATAGGATAGCCAATCTTTTTGTTGCTGCTAGCAGCGGATGACATGGTGTCTGTAGCCGAGATGTTGGCCAGTGTTGTGGGACATTTGTGTCAATAAAACAAGCAGTTTTACTTCTTTCCAGGAGTTGCCTGTTGTTACTGAAGATCTGCAGTTTTCATTTTGTGTCCGCAAAAGTCACTAGCGATCAGAAGATTATAGAACAGATTATAGTCCCAATTCTGGAAAAGTAAGAATGGTTGTACTGAGATGAATTAAGACTAGAAAAATTTAGGGGTTTTACCCACTAATTCAAAGACTTGAGTTAACAGGCAGTGAGGAAAGCAATGAATGCTGCTGTGACACTCTGTTCCTTTTTATATTAATACATTTTTGTGAAGCTAGTACACTGTATTTAATTCTAGATATTCCGTTCCAACTTGATACTTAATAAACTTTGTAATCTAGTACATGTCTTTGTTTTATTGTTCCCCTTCTTGACTTTGCTTTCCACCCTCTTCCCTTCCCCATAGAACTCTCCAGAGCTCTCCTCTGCTCACTTCAGCTCTGTTCACAGGTGAATCTTCACCTTGTCCTGGAGGCCAGGCAAAAGGCCAGCATGCGGCTGTGTCCTTTTCCTCCGGGGACGCTTGAAGCACAATCGCATTAAGATCGTGGACTAGAGTTGAGGTATTGCTAAGAATCAGTTCCCAGACTCTTCTGGTATTTTAGAGCAATCCTTCTTGTGGTCTGGGCAGAAGGTAGTGGCTGAGCCTTCTGGTAGCCGTGAAATGCTGGCAAATCCCAGAGGTTTTCATCCCATGGGGATCTGACCAATTTGTAGCCCGCAGTGGGAAAAGGTGTTAAGAAATTTCTCCAGCCTGCACCAGAGTGGTAAGGAGAAGTTCAGCTTTTGGTACTTTCTAGTGTCTCTCCACAGAGAAAGCAGGTGCAGAATGTCTTGGCCCTTACTGTTTGTTGTCATTGTGATAAACTCAGACATGACCTGTTCTCAAGTTTGTTCCTAACCTGCTCTGTGCTGCCGGTTGTCAGTGAGAGGGGAAAGTTCTTGACTGGTGGAGCAGCAGAAAGAAAATCTGGTGTAACAGGAGTTGATAGTGGTTACAGTCGGGTGGGGGGTGAGGGGGTAAAGAGAAGTCCAGTCAATTCCTTCTCTTGAAAGTCCATCTCCAGTGTCACTCTGGGGTCACTCTTGATGATCTCAGAGAGGCCATGGCACTCGGGGGGAGGCTCCTGAGACCTGGAAGACAGGAAATATCCATCCCATCTTCAAGAAGGGTGAGGCAGAGGAGCTGGGGAACTACAGGCCAGTCAACCTCATCTTGCTGCATGGGAAGGTAATGGAGCACATCCTCCTGGAAGCCATTTCCAAAGATGTTAGGGACAAGAAGGTGACAGGGAGGAGTCAGCATGGGTTTGCAAAGGGGGAAATCATGCCATGCCAATCTGGTAGCTTTCTACAATGATGTGAGTAATTCAGTGGAGAGAGAGGGAGCAGTGCATGTTGCTTACCTTGACTTTAGCAAGGCTTTCTCTGGCTTGCACCATAACAGTCGAGTTCAGCTTTTGGAAATTCCAAAGAGAAAAGCAAGTGTGTTTCTTAATTTCTTTGCTAAGGTATGTTAGAAACCCTTTCAGGTCAGTAGCTGTAAGAGGATTGCTAGATTTTTAAAATCAGTTGTACAGAATATACAATTCTGTTTCAGAAAACCTCATTATGCCAGTTGCTTTTTCCTCAAGAGCAAACAGTGTAAGAAATTGTCCAGGTTTTGCCCTCTTCAAAATGTGGCATTGAATTGCGGCCACAAAACGTTAGTTTTTCATTGTTATTCATTGGCAGAGTAGTGGCTTGAAAGATCGATTAAAGGCTGTTTGAGTAGCGCTGCCATAGCACTGATGTGTCCACCCAGTGAATCTTGACTTCCGAGATACTCGGGCATCTGCTTATAATTCATTGCTGACTTCTGCAGCTCTAACTTCTTTACTGATGCTTTGCAGAGGGAATACAAATCTGGTCTCCTACAAGCATACTGACGACCTTTGTCCTGTTTTCACCTTCCCTTTACCTTAAGAGGCACCTCTTGCCACCCTTACCCTGGATATAGAGATAAACCACCTGTTACTAAAACCAAACAAACTACAAGTCCTGTTTGCCTATAAAAGCCAATTGTAAATGCTTTTTTACTGCTGGCTCTCAGTGAGAAGTGAGGGTTATTGGCTGCTGGACAAAGCGAACGGAAAGCCGGTGTTAACATCTAGCAGAACAGTTGTTCATAACTGTTATCATGAGGGTAGCGGGTAAAGGAAGGTCTAGTCAATTAATTAACTTCAAAGTTGATGTGTTTGTTTTCTTGTTCACTAGTGAAAAACCTATTCTCAAAAGTGGGCACCTGGTTCTTGCTGCTTGTTGGAAACAGCCCCAGCTACCCTGAAAGTGGTGCTGGTACCATATTGCATGATGATACACAAGGTCGCTATTTATCCTGAAACAGAGCTGTATCCTGTTCTATAAAACAGGGAATTGAATTGATCTTCTCTGCAGGGGTCCATCGTTCATAATTTCTCCCTAAGCCTCTGGTCCAGCTCCCTGGTGTCTTAGTGCTTGATCACGTACTACTGGCACATAATAGGTGCATGTTGAGGGGTTTTTTTTCATTTTGTTTGTACGATGCAAGCAATACATGCAAATTGCACGTGAACAAGGGAATTGCAGCTTGTTCCTGCACCCCACTGCCATTGTTCTTTGGCCTCCAGAACAAAGGGGGTTTAGCTCTGCATCAGACAAAGAATGCCCTTCTTAAGCAAGGCTGAAATGTATGAGACTTTGAACAAGCAAGCGCAGCACGTGAAGAGATGTTTCCTACTACCAGACCACATCTCTTCAACTATGCCTATTTAGGGAGCTCTTTCTCTAACATAAGCTTTGGTTTCTTCCATATCCATCACACCTTCAGCTCCAGAGCATAGTGTCAAGCAGTCCTCTTCCAGACAAGGTGCAACATCATTTTCCATACTTTGGGAAATAACATCCAGCTACTTGTTTATGGTATGCCAGTCTACCTGTGCATTAGCAGCGTCTTTTCCCTTCAGCATTCTCCTTTGTAATGCAACACACAGTCTCCAGTCTCCTCTCCAACCCTCTCAGCTCCAGCCATTGGCTGCTTTTCAGCATATTTTAGAATTTTATTCATATTATAGTTCCTGTGTTCCTAGAATTTTATTCATATTATAGTTCCTGTGTTCCCATCCTTTCAAATTAAGCAATATTTCTTCCACATGCCTGATGTCTTACATGGTATGAGTAAGAAGAAAGATGAATGGTCTTGATTCAGTCCTGAAAGGTCAAATTAGATTGTTGGAGAAACTGGAGTCTGAGGCCATTCCAGATACACAGGGCAAAAAACTGTTCCTTTCTGAGTCTGCCATCACCAGAGAAAGCCTCAGCATGAGGCCTTGTGAGGGTGACCAGGGTCAGACACAACTCCAGGATGGCTGGGCAGGGCCGCGGGGATGGGCCAGGCCAGGACATCAGCCCACAGTGTTCATGAGGCACACGCTTGATACAAAGCTGAACCGACAGTGAGTCAATCAGCTTTTCTCCTCAGCGGCACCAACTCATCCAGTTGCCCCAGACTCCTGTCACAAACCTCATTTCTTATTGCCTTGAACTCTCTGATTTAGGTACGCTATCCTACAAGAGGATCGAGCACATCTTCAGCCCCGTTAGGGGCTCTTCTTTTGTCTGGAAGATCATTTACTTGTTTACAGGTCATCCTAATGGGGCAATCCGGCTACTCGGTACTTATTGTGAGCAAGCTGCCAAGTCCAGTAGCCTGACGGGGACGGTACAAAGATATGTATACGCATATAGATATGTCTGTACCCATAGATATCTAGATATAGGTGTGTACAATGTGGATCCCTCCAGCAGCCAAGCAGACACTCAGTCTGCCCCATAGCTGAGCTGTTGTCTCATCTTGATGGTTTCACACCTAGACCATGGGGCTGAGGCTCTCCTGGGAGTGGCCCAGACAGCAAGTCCCCTCCTCTGAGTCCCTAATTTGG